CCTGGACCTCCACAAGCTCAGAACTCCCTGAAAGTCATCGTGCGTGCCCCTAGCATGGCCGCCATCTCGGTGCGGAATTCACCCAACCTCTCATCAAGTATCTCCAAGATTCCCTCCTTGACCGTACCGAATATCACGGGAGTCTGATCTAAAATACTACACGTGACCTAAGATGAAATGAACTCTCTCATCTGCTCGTCGAGCTGCCCGACTCCAAAGCCCGAGCCTGATCCCTCACCGACACCTGAACTGCCAACTAGTCTAGTGCGTAGCGTCACCATACTGAAAATACACCAGACAAACATAAGTATACTCATCATAACTCGAGGGATCTCACATACTACAAGTTCCCTGGGTTCATCTCAGCCTTCCTTGATTCGAGTACGGATCCTCTGCTTTCAGTAGTACGGGCACATACTACGTTCCACATTTATCCGTACTTTCCTCAAGAACTGCCTCGACTCCACCAAGTCCCTTCTACTACTATTGCTTTCTGCTAATCTCATCCTAGGCTTGCCCTAGGGTAATCTCCAACCCACTCTCCGCCATCAGTTGCATAAGAAGTCCCTGCTATCTCCCCTAACTAGCTCGCGAATACTATTACATATCACTAAGACCAGATAATTCTTCGAATGAGAGGTCCTACTCTACAATGGTTAGACTCAAACAAGAGCTGCAAAATAGAGCTAAACCCAACCTTCTGAAATTACTTAGTCCTCGTAATATGTAACTTAATGTATTCATTTACTAGTTATTTAAAGATAATTAGGACTGCTAAAAGCACAAAGCAAGCAGCATTCGAGCATTGAGTAACCATAATCAAGCATATCCTACTTAGGTCATCATATTACTAACTAATCAGTACTAGCATATAGTTCAACAAGCTTATACAACAGGCATATAAGGCATCCTTCCTAGATCCTTAGCCCTAACTAGCATGCAATTCTCATACACATATAACAGGCATACAAGGCATCATTCTTAGATCCTTAGGCCTAATCTAGCATGCAGTTCTCATAATCATAACATAACAAACTTGTATGGGTAATTTGGGAGAACTTACTTGAGCTCGGTTGATTGCATGCACCACACCCTTTTTCTCTTTTCAAAATTCGTTTTGTAAAAATGGTTTTTTTAAAGATTTTATACCAAGTCCTCAGTTTGAATTCAAACACACTCGAGAGTGTGCCCGAATCCCTCAAACCAAGGCTCTGATACCAACTTGAAACATCCTAAACATACGGTCCAAAAATTTCATTTTTAATTATAAAGAAAACCATAGCTATCAAACATCACATGAAAATCATAAGTTATTGTTTCTCAAAACAACATAAAAATCTGTCAAAACATATCAGAGTAAAAACACCCCATGCTAAAATCATGGTGTGTGCACTGCAGTCATCCTGAGCTCTTCCCCTTGCTACCGAAAGTACCTGAAACCAAAACTGAAAACTGTAAGCATGAAGCTTAGTGAGTCTCCCCAAACTACCACATACCATACACATCATCATGCTACAATGAGATACGGTCCCCGCCCACACTCAAGGAGATACGGGCCCCGCCCACATTCCGCTAACTAGGAGATTCGGGCCCCGCCTACACTCAGCTACTAAGCATACATACAAGTATCACAAAGACAACAAGTATAATCAAATCTATCAATCAATTCTATATCCATACTCAAATAATGCTTATGAGATACGGGCCTCGCCCACACTCAAATATCTATGAGATACGGTCCTCGCCCACACTCAACTACTAATCAATACACATAACATATACGGGCTGGCCTTGGTGCCTTCGACCCGTTCAAACCAGGAGGAAACTTACCTCGTAAAGCTAACGGCGAAATCTCGCGATAAGGAATCTCTAACGGCTGCTCCAACGACTCCCCGACTATCATTATCACAATAACACTTAGTCAAAATCCAATAATCCTTCTTAGGGTAAAATGACCAGTTTACCCCTGGTCAAAGTCAACATTCTGGGTTGACTCAACTCGCCGAGTTCCATAAATCAGAAACCCTGAAATCGCGATCCAACTCGTCGAGTCCTTCACGAACTCGTCGAGTTTCTCCTATCAACAGAATCGGGACTTTCCAACTCCACTCATCGAGTCCGTCCTGAACTCGTCCTTTCCTTCTACAGGGTCGGGGCATTTCGACCCAACTCGTCGAGTTCCTTTATGAACTCGTCGAGTTCTTTAGTCTGATAAACTATCTTAATAGATTAAGCTCATATCTTTTAGATCTAAGCTCCATACTTCATATACATACTGAAAATGTCCTTTTAAGGGTAAAGTTTCCAACTTTACCCGTAAATACCCTTCCTTAATGGGTTTTTCTCAAACCCTAACTCTTTAAGACCTAGATCTTGATCCATAAGTCATTAATACTTCAAGCTAAGGCATACAAACTGAGATCTAGACCCTAGACACTACATGAACACGTAACTTCTCTGAATTTCTCTCCATGCATGGCCTTTTGGAGCTTAAAAGGCCAAAATGACATCTTAAAGCTTGCATGGGGCTTCAATGGCCATAAAGTTTGCACCTTTATGCCATGAAATCCCGTCAAGGTCCTAGACCTGGAAGTAGACTCACTTGGGACGTCCATTTCCCAAGGATCAAGATATTTGGACCTAAAAACCCAATAAAAGTGAAAATGAAGAGATCTAAGAAATCATTAAGCAAGTTTGAGACTTGCTTACCAAAAAGCGACGAGGATGGGATGGAGTTTCTTGATCTACTTACTCCTTCTTGAGTCCTCAAGCTTCTTCTTCTTCGACAAGCTTCAAATACACAAGTTCTCTCTAAAAAATGTCTCACAAGCTCACACAATGCATTAGGGTTTCGAGATTTAGGGTTTGGGACTTGGAGGCTGTAAATGAGGCCAGCCTTTGGAGGTTAATGTGTTTAAATAGGGTGCAAAACCCTGAAAATTAAGGTTTCACTCTGTCAGTCCTACTCGTCGAGTTGAGGCTCTCAACTCGTCGAGTAGACTTTACAACCCTCGTTCAATTCCATTCCTACTCGACGAGTTTGGGGCCTCTAACTTGTCGAGTTTCTATACAAAAGCGAATAAATCTTTAATTAAATACATACCAGGAACTAGGCGTTACATCATTAATTAAAAAAATTACACACTATATTAAAAACATAAATAAAAAAACATACTCAAAACATCAAAAAAAGAACATGATCTAATCATCGTCACTAGCCACGTCATCGTAATCCTCGCCCGAATCTCCTTGAAACGTTTCTGACTCGTCATCTGTAGAGTCAAACAACTCGTCTTCATCAAAATCGTCTACATTGGGATTCACTTGAGCATTGAAGACGTGTTCCACCAAATCTGTACGAGGGTTGTGGTGTCCGACTCGATCGTATACCTCCACTCTGTTCGCCATGTACGCTTGCATACCAATACCAACTCTTTCTATATTTCGTAAATCCTCATTTTCATTGTAGTGACAAATCGCTTTCCCCTTATCTTCTAGAGTCATATTATGCAATATAATACATGCATAAATAAAACTACTTATTCGTTTTCACTCCATAGATCGTGTCGGTGCTGCGAGTATCTGCCAACATCTCTTTAAAACACCAAAGGTTCATTCGATATCCTTCCTAGCATATTCTTGGGCCGACTTGAACTTTATTCGCTTTTCATCATTTGGACATGAGAATTATTTCACAAACGTAGTTAACTCGGGATATATCCCATCAGTAAGGTAATATCCACGCTTGTACGATGTCCCATATGAAACGACACATCATACGATTTCCCAAGGTAGATGTCGTTCAAAATCGGTGATTGGTCCAGAATGTTGATGTCGTTGTTGGAACCCGATGTACCAAAAAATGCATGCCATATCTACTGCTTCTAAAATTATTGTTGACATTTTTTGATCACCTCGTATAAATTGACTGCATCATGCATTATAGCACATTGACCACCCTCAATACATACAATCAATACTACCAAGCATTCCAGAGAACCCGTGCTTGTTTTCATGTGTTGTATATAGTTGTTGGATGTCACTTATTATAGGCTTACGTAAATAGCGTTCACGATAGAGAATGATCACAACTCTAGCAAACTTGTATACACATTCCCTCATTGTTCGCTCTGGCATCCTCAAATACTCATCTCAATCCCATGAGTCCGGTCTCATGCCGAATGCTAGTTGACGACATCAACGATACATTTTTGAATTGAAGAAAAACCTAATTGACCTTTTTCATTAACCCGCTGCTGAAAATTTGGAAATCGATTTTTGATGTCATCGACAATGCGTAAAAATAATTCCTTGTTCATCCGAAACCGATATCGGAATTTTACAACATACACTGCATCGTCGAAAAAGTAGTCATTGACAAGTTGATTGTGACAGGCTTCACGATTTCTCCGTAAAGGAGGATTTCTAAGTTTTGGTTGCGAACGTTCGGCTTCATTTTTCTTGTAGATATGTTAATGTTGTTTGCATAACGTCTCTAATAAAATCCGCTTCCCACAACACCATCTTATCCGATAAAATGGATGATGTAGATATGTTAATGTTGTTTGCATAACGTCTCTAATAAAATCCGCTTCCCACAACACCATCTTATCCGATAAAATGGATGACAAAGATGAAGACATTTTTAAACAAAAAAGAAGGTTGTATATAGAGTATTTTGGTGTTTTTTTGTGTTGTAAAATGAAAAGCGAATGGTTATATTTATAGTTTTAAAAAAATTAAACTAAATGGGAAATAGCCATTAAAGGCTCAACGGTAAAAAATGTGAAGTACGAGATGCGGTGTATTTACTTCCTACGGCATCCTCACCGCATTCCAACGGTGGGGGTTGGCCGGTTGGGTGTTGTGTTCGCAGGCACACAATGCGTCACCAAATCACCAACCGGAGTGTGCGTACTACCGTTAGGGACATGATAGTTGCCATATATAACCAATAACATCTAAAATTAAGCAAATTAAGGTACTATATCTACATCATTATGTCATATCATTGAATTTTATATCATTACGAACTCACCACACGTGCCAAGTTACAAACATTCTTTTTTCGGATGGACATATGTTTACATGCACCGACAAGACATCTGGAATTTCAGAGCTCTCACGAAGAAAACGTTACCTATAGCAAATTAGCACCACGCAAAACCACAGTAATGTTTTCCAATCGATCATCAAAATTTCATATTTACACTTGACCAAATCCGAAAGGCCCACAATTTTGCATGTTCAAACATATTATCCATGATCAACATGCAAAAATTAATCGGATCCACCAGGAGGATATTACTAACGAGTTGAAAACCAATTAAAAAAACCACAAGCTAAAAAATGTAAACTCACTACCGGAATTATTCAAGATGCAAAAGCAGTCGGAAGTATGGTGATGTGTTTCAAGGGATGAGTGATACCAACGCCGCCTGCATGCTCCACAAAACCAGCCGGAGAGAATGATTGACCATGACATACACACACGATGCTTACCTCGTTCTTTGTATATCTGTACAGAAACCCGCTAACTGTCTTCCCATTTGGCCCGTTTCCAGTTGTGGAAACACACGGCATTCGGGCTAGAATAGAAGCCTGTTGTTGGTTTTGGCTACTACTCGTCTCAAGCTTCGGAGTTGGGTTAATTGGGTTTGGGACACCCGACTCCGGTGGCCTGAACCGGTCATTTGGGTTCACTGCAGGGCCGGTTGGCTTAGATGAACCGATGGGTTGATCGGACCCGGATGGGTCAAATGGTTCACTTGCGGCTGAAGTACTTTCCGGTTGGTGGTCTACTTGTGAGTTGCTTGAGTTGCTTCTGCTTTCATCCGTACCACCGCCTACAATATTATTTTGACACCAAGAACACCGGACAACAATCAGAAAGAAGTCAAGAACATCAATAATAAAAAAAAAAAAAAAAAAAAAACTCATCCTATATCGTTAACATGAATCCAAAGCTATTATTGTGTATTTGAATTAAAATGTTAAAGTTTTTTTTTACCCTGGCGAGAGGAGCATTGACTATCTGACACGGCGGAGGAAGCGTATCCAGCGGAGCCGTTTGAATTCACATTAGAATACCGTCGTCCGCCGCCGTCTGTCTCGTCTTCAATAGGTTTTAGATTTGTATTCCCTTGATATGGCTTGAAACTCCAGCATGCCGTCGCCCGGAAAACAGAATTCTTTGTATTTAAATCGTCTTCCATTCGTGGAACAACTTCACCACCACCGCAGATGGGCATCACGTTAGGATGTAAAAATCCGTTTGTGATCGGTGCTGCAGGAATCGAAGTGACGTTTTCCGGTGAATTTCTGATCCTCCCTTTTTTACGAGTAGGTTCATTCTCAAAATTTTCGTCATTTTGTCCTAGGATTTGCTTCTCTAACCACTCGTTGTTCTCCAGAAGCGGACCACTAACTGAACCACATGAACCAAAACCGACCGATTTCTTCGGTTTTTCTTCTCTCTTCCTCCGTAGTTCCCGTCGCCGGATAGCTTGAATCTCACGCTTGGAATGAACATTCAAATCCCCCTCCTCTTGTTTATCCTTTTCCCTCGATTCACTTACATTCCGAATCGTTTTCTTTGATTTCGCAAAAATCCCCCCAATCGACAACTCCAACATTAGCTCGTTTTCCTCTCTGTCTTCATCAACAATTCCGACGCTTTTCGTCTCCAACATTCTGGAATCATTCGCCATTATAACACTTCAGTTTTTTTTTATCGAAAATTCAGATTCAACTAGGGTTTTTTCTCATTTGAAAAAGGGGGATTTGAAGAGGAGGGAAATCTGTTTAAAGCGATTGGAAAAACATGGAGGGAAAGGAAAACGACACGTAAGATTTGTTAAATTCTGCGACGCGTTAATGGCGGAGTATGGCGTCCGATGATAGTACATGTCGACACGTGGCGAGTAACGAGGGAAATGAGATTTCTGGATGACTGCATGGTCGAAACGTGGCGATTCGTTTCAGGATGGTGGATATCTTTATGATGCTTTTTCGATGTAATCTTGGCCGTTGGTTATTGCGGGTCCTGAATGCTGATGACACGCGAAACCTACCTTAGCATTCCTGTATTGTGACTGTGACACGTGTCATATAGTCTGAAAAAAGTGTACATGCTGGATTACAGGTGGATGACTAGACGTCTCGATGTTGCTTTCTGGTAAAGTAACCACGCACGTGGTTGCCATGCATGGTGTGCTTGCAATACTGTTCAGAAAATGTTTTATTAGAAATTTAATATTCACCCAACAAATTACATGAAGTTATTTATATTTGATTTTTCTTTTCATTTTAGGTAACAAAATTATCAACAACTAAATTTGTACATCTTTATTAAGCCTAACAAGTAACAAGCTTAAAATACTTCTTACATGATTGAGTTAATTTTTATGTCATGTTTCAAATACTAATTGAAAAATTACTCCAAAGTTGAAAAGATAGTCGTTAATATATTAAAAAGGTGTTTATTAAATGATAAACTAGCTATTAGAGGACATCAAATGGTTTTAAAAAATCATTTAATATTATAAGATAAATACATAATATATTTAATTTAAATAGATAAATAATAAATAATAATTTCTATCATTTACATTTGAACAAATCTTTGAATCTCAATTTTCTTTGTGATTATTATTATCATTGATTATTGTATCTCATGGCTTCTCTCGAATTTTATACTAACCGTTGTTTAATTAGTTAATTCATTTATTAAATATTCATTAAAACCCAAATATTTTCTTGAATAGCTCACGTTTGGAACATTTAAATTGACACATATATGGTACAAATAAATCAACTTTTGATATTAACTTTAAAATTGATTGTATTTAATAAATAATCTTATATACTTGTAAAGTTTGCATTTTCCCTTGAATGTCATGCATTTGAAATCCCCCATAATAATTTGTTAAAACCTCATGCATTTGAAACCCCCAAATATTTTCACCTTCTTAATAATTAATCACACATAATCAATGGTAATTCATATGAGATAATAATTTTGCTAAAACCTCATGCATTTGTATGGTATTAGAACATGTTTGAGTTTTTGGGTTTTAGACTTTAATAAATGGGTAATCCGTTTGATACGTTGGATTTGAAGCTATCTTATTTGAATTAACTCAAAACAAGAGATAAATTAATAATATATGCTCATGCATGTTTTGAACAAGCCCCAATCAAAATACAATATATCATGATCATACAATTAAGTGTGTCTTTTATTCCATTTTTGGCTTTATAACAAAAGTTTGTTTACGTGGCGAAGAAAGAAAACTTGAAGATGAATATTTAGGTTGGATGCTTATATAAGATTTGTTTTAAATATATAATATAGATATAAATACACAAATGTGTGTCAAATACAGCCCATCACAAATTTAATGTTATAAACTACAATATAACTCAAAGTGGTTTTCCAAATATAATGTTTATACTATAATATAATATATTAGAAGAATACCATATAGTAGACGGATCTCACATGTTGTGCAGAAATTTATTTGCATATATAATATATTATAATTATATTTCATTTAAAATATGTTAGGGTCATTTGGTTATTACATTGTTGTATTAGGCACTATAGTCTCATATATTTTGAATGACTCTTACAAAAATGATGTCCGTAATTTGAATATAACGTAATATCTTATGATGTTTATTGAATGATATTATGTTCGATTGAGCACTTGGTAATTGGAATCAACTTTTATTATAGTTAAAAAATTTGGCTCCGTTTTTTCTTTTTCATTAGTTCTAGAATATGATTTTTTATATTAACTTAAAATATGTCACTATCTTAAAATAGATTGAGAATGAGATTTTTTATATTTACTTAAAATACGGTACCATTTTCTATTCAATAGTAAAACTAACAAAAGTCGTTAAATATGTATTTTTATGAGGTTCAACATAAATAGACGACCACAAATGAGAATCCATATCTAATCAATTATCAATTAATTACATTAGATACTAATGTGTACATAAAAATTACATTTAAAATTTTAAACTAATAGTAAAAAAATTTCATTATTTATTATGATAAAAAATCTGTAAATCAAAAAATATACATGCTATTTAATCGCATACAAGTTTTATGTATGGCTTATTCACAATACATTAAACCATATATAACCATATTAAACTACATAATTATCCCACTGCGCAACGCGCGGGCATTCGCCTAGTTGTTTATGTGCTTAGCAAATTTTAAAGGGATCAACTGCATGTTATTGTAAAATTAAGTAAACTTGAGGTAAGGAGGGGGAATCTAAATTTTAATATTTTTTAGAAATTATATAGAATTTTTTTAATACCTATCTTTTAGTATTGAAAAAAATAAAAGACTGCCTTATTTTCAATAATTAGTTTTAGATTTGCCACTTAAGGTAAGTATGTGTAATGTAATAGTCTCAAGACATGGTAAATTAAGAACAATTAAAGTTTAGGAGTTTATTTGAGATTATTGTATGATATCCTTAAGCACAAATATCATAAACGAATCAAGGATGTAATAATTAAATTCTTTGAAAATTTACAACTTCTTGTGTAAAACCAAGTAAAGGTCAAATAGGTCGTTTTTTGACCCGTTAACATATGTTGACTCGAGATGATTTTTGTTGACAAAAACTTCTATGCGATGATACATCTGGAAAATTGGAAGTAAAGGTTAGCTGAATTTACGCTTCAATTACTTAGGAATCAAGAACATAAAAACATTTCATGTATGGAAAATTACGAGTTTTTAACTTACCGGAAATTAAATATCCTTCTGTATATTTTTCCTATTTATCTGTTTATCTGTGTCAAAATTTTGACATGTGTCACGTTTAATGAAATTAATAATATTTTAATTCATTTATCATCACCATTTAATATGCATCCGAGAATAAGTTGTAAGAAAACTTAAATGTATTAACATTAAAAAATATTTACCAGCTACTTGTGATTTTAAAATTATTTACCTAATAACTGTATTTTTATTCAACCACGCTTTCGTCTTTGGGTTCTCTTAGGGATTCTTCCTTGATGTCTGCAGACCGGAACTACACTTTTATCGTCTCTGCCTGTGCCTTCTCACCGTCAGGCATCGTCTAGATAATGGATAGAAATTTGATTACATTTTCGACCCGATAGATTACCGGTTATATTTCTTTGCAATTTGAGTATTATGATTATGGATCATCTCTAATATAGCTTGTCACTAGCCAAACACATACACATCTTGGTGTTTATGTGTTTGGCTAGTGACAAACTATATAATATTAAAGATGTTTCATAATCATAATAATCAAATTGCAAAGAAATATAATTGGTGATCTATCGGCAATGGCGTAGCTAGTAAGGCATAAGGTAGGTCTTAGGACCTACCTTTTATTATTATTATTATTATTATTATTATTATTATTATTATTATTATTATTAACATGTAGATATAAGAAAAAATAAGGAACCACCTTATTTTTACAAGAAGACCTACCTACATTTAGGTCCTAGGACCAAACACGCAAATTACCTTAAACAAGAGCCTATATATTTTATATCTAAAAGCACAATCCAATGATATAATAAAATTTTTCTTTTAAAAAAGGATAAAAGGAAATAGAAAATTAGAACCTTTAATATTATAAATTTTGAAGTGATGTTTAAATATTTTGACATACAACCCGACTCGTTATCATAGTTTTTTTACTCTTTCAATTTTTTTAATTTTCATATATATATATATATATATATATATATATATATATATATATATATATATATATATATATATATATAATAAGGAAGTATGTGGTTTTTGGTTCTAGATTCGTCACTATTTATCGGGTCGAAAATTGAACCAAATTTCTATCCATTATCTAGACGATGGCTGACGGTGCGAAGGCACAGGTGGAGACGATAGGAGTGTATTGCAGTCTGCAGACATCAAGGAAGAATCCATAAGAGAACCCGGTGACGAAAGTGTGGTTGATTAAAAATACAACTATTAGGTAAATAATTTTAAAATCACAAGTAGTTGGTAAATATTTTTTAATGTTAATACATTTAATTTTTCTTCCAACTTAGTTTCCTATGCATATTACATGGTGATGATAAATGAATTAAAATATTATTAGTTTTATTAAACGTGACACATGTCAAAATTTTGATACGGATAAAAGGCTAAATAGGAAAAAAAAATATAGGAGGATATTTAATTTCCGATAAGTTAAAAACTCGTAATTTTCCATACACTAAATGTTTTTATATTCTTAATTCATAAGTAATTGAGGCGTAAATTCTGCTAACCTTACTTCCAATTTTCTAGATGTATCATCGCATAGAAGTTTTTGTCAACAAAAATCACCTCTAGTCAACATATGTTAACGGGCCAAAAAACGACCTATTTGGCCTTTACTTGGTTTGACACTCGGTGTCAAATCTTATGTTCATGTTGAAGAAACAATATGAACATATAGTTTGTTAGTAGCTAAACACATCAAATCTCTAATATAATTTCTTCAACATGAACATAAGATTTGACACTCGTTATCGGGAAATGAGTAAAGTCGTGTAAAGTTTTCATTCTTTTGCTGGATAAACTCTTTAACACCTTCGAGATTTGATGAAATATCTGTTAGTTTATACTTATTTAATTACTTTGTATAGTATAGGCCTGCAAGGTCATATATATATATATATATATATATATATATATATATATATATATATATATATATATAGAGAGAGAGAGAGAGAGAGAGGGCTAGGTTATTTTGTTTCTTACATTTATTGTGTGCCTGTAAGCACAAT